CTGACCGCCGAAGCGGCAGCCACGCTTCTAACCACCCGGAGCCTGCACTTTGGACCGGAATAATGCCTCTGCTCTGGAGGGAAGGAGGGATGTCATTCGGCCCTGATCTGTGCTGATGTTACACACTATAATATGACGTGGGAGGGGGTGGAGGGGGAGATTTCCCATTCATAAAAAATGAAATGAACAAAAGTAGGTGAAGAAGGAGACTGAAAGAACTGAGAAAATGATGCTTCTTTGCTTTTATCCTCCCATTCTCTCTCTCTCTCTCTGCTCTTTATATTTCTGTCTTTTTATACTCCTCTCTCTCTTCCTCTCTATGACAGAGCATGAGACGGTATAGGCCGAGGATAATGTGCCCGAGTGCGTGTGGGTTCTTTCCTTCATGTTTTTCTATCCGAGACTTTTTTTTGGTGAAGATGGATCCTCGTTTTCATCTTTAATCATGCCAAACTCGGGCCCCATTTGTCATGTTTACTCTGCGGGTACAAAGCAAAGGGGTGAACCGCCGCTCTGCCCATTACCCCCCTGCACCCCTCACCCTCCCACCCCACTCACTCACGCACACACGCACGTGTAATAAATGGAACTCTCGTCAAGAGAAGTATTCTCACAAACACATACAAAAACCACACACACCCCTCTATAGTACTCTAACATCAAATATAACCTCCAGTATGATCCAAAATGACACCAGACAGGTTCCTGTCCAGTTGTTATAATTATAACTGTTGGTATTTCTGTTTTGTTTAATGACAAAATATAGCTTTTTAAATTTTAATTATAGTTATTTTTGAATTCAGTGTTAATTGTAAAATGATACTTTATGCTGTTATTGCTGAGAATGACAAGGAGCGTTTATGTGGTCCGTTGATTGTTAATTTTGTGATGTTGTATACAGGGAAACAGACTGACAGGGTGATTAAAGTGAAATAAAGTTAAATTAAGGCATTTTCCACTACAAACAGGGTTTATAAAGCTGCCTGAACAAAGGACACTAATAATTAAACCAAAATCCTGGTACAAATAGTTCAAGAACACAGTATAAACGCAGCACTATACAATGTACTACCTATTACCTCAGTTGTACTGATATATATTTTTATTTTTTTGGTCATCTTATTTTCTCTCTTGCTCGTTTAATGAAGTGACAGCTTTTCGAGCTTTTATATTTTTGAAATTGTGTGACGAGTTATTATAATAATTATTATTACCTGCAATACAAAAAAGCGCTACTCATTTCTTGTATTTGGAAAATTAAAAAAATGTAATTTAATTATAAGCAATTGTTCTGGCCAGGGACATTCAGAAAAAATAAGGAGCCTTTTTTATTGCATGTCTGAATGGTGTTGATTTATTTTTCTATCCTTTCCTCTTTGTCTCTCCTTTCTCCGCACATTAAATGCGCGCACACTTCTTTTTTTCCTCTTTGCTTCTCCTCCTCTTCTCTCTGTTCTGTCACCTTGTGCCACTTTTTAGATATTTTATTCTGCAAGTGTTTTTTTAATTAATGTTATTTTATTTACATTCCAAAGATCCGTTTCTATCGTTATTGATGATGATAATAACAATGATGCTATTGTTGAACATGTGTTACCTCCTCCGATATGTAAGTTGCTCCTTCCTCTTCTTATGCCTCCTTGGTGTCTACCTTCCTATTATTTGTAAATAGTTCATAGAAATTTAAATAAATGGCTAAAAAAGTATCGTTTTCTATCCTTTTCTCTCTCATTTTCTCTCTCTAAATGATTTGTTAAGTTAAACTACAATGTCTAGCCTACTGATAGAGGTTTGGCAGCCTTCATAAAATCGTCCAGTTTTAATTAATAATTAAGTTTTTTTAATGTTTTCTGTTTAACTTAAGATTCCTTTCTCATTTTTGTTTTATAATATAATCATTTCCCTTTTGCTTCCGCAGTAGGTCTGAAAGAGGAGAAACATTTCCTCCTCTCACCCAGGTTTAACGATGGAGGATGTATTTAAAGCGTACATTCACACGCTTCCATGTGCGCACACACAATAAATAATTTCATTTAATTTCACTGTTGGTTTTGCCTACAAACGCACAGCGACCTGTCTTGAGAAATCAGCAGCCTGCGATGATTAATCTGTCCCGGCCGTGAGTGATCTTGGTACATTACGTCCTGTAATCTCGTTTTAAATCACAAACCGTCCCTCCGTTTCACTCTCGTTCTCCCGTTAATTTAACGGCTGCTCAGACGCGCTTGCACCGGCCCGACACAGAGTATGGGACACCCCCTCCCCCCCTTCCTCCTCTGGTTCTGAAGGGAAAAAAAGCATTAAATAGTTTCTCGGTTCGTGGTCTTTTAATGCTTTAATGAGTGTAATTTTTGCACAACAGTTTTTTTCCTCCTCTCGGTGTTTTCTGGAGCGGTGCGGTGCGCGCATGTGTGTTTTATTTTTTATATATTACAAAAAGGGAGCGGGCCGGCGCCATAGCTCAAACCCTGACAACCAAATAGATAATCAACAAGACGAATGGCTTCTTTTGTAAGGCGCGGCTCCCGTATTAATTTTCATTTTCTTTTCTTAGAGCAGGTATCGAAAAATATAGAGCAAGAGGGGGGAGAGCGAGAAAATAGCATTCCTCTCGATGAACTTTAAACAAAAAAAGTGTGCCCCCCAAATTGGTCCGCTCGTATTCCTCGGCCCAGAGAAGATTCCCTATTACTTGTTGGTTGATTTCTCCCTGGGCCTCTTGCCACAGAGACTCCCTCTGCCCATTTATCTGTTTTCTTCCTGTTTATGAAAGGCTCCCCCAGCGCTAAAACCGCCCTCCTATCAAACCGTGCACCTAGATGTGCTCAAACACACACACACACACACACACACACTGTGCCAAAATGGTAAAGCCGTACATATGTGTTGGTGTTTTTAAACCTGCATTTTACTGTTTCAGTCCTGCAAAAATCAATTGAACCGATTTATTTTATTTTTTAGTATTAACAACTCAGCTTCAAATTGACTAGAGCGCGCGTTCGCTCAAGTTTAACATTTTTCCAGAATGTGCATTCATTTCCAGTTGCTGAAAACAAGCCACACGCACACACTTATGTTATTCTTATATGGTGAAAGCTATAAGGTTTAATACCCCCTCCTCCACACATACACACTATCCCTCAGGCGGTGTACCTCTCCTCACATAAGACAATATTTGTGTCCGAATGCCGTAATTTTCGTTACACACCAATTGCCCTATATTGGAGCATCCAACCAAGCACCCCCTCCCAATATTCACTCCCATGCACACCCATATGTGCCTCCACAATAACCCCTAAAGCCCCTGAGCACTTGCAGTCCAAGTTGAAATAAATGAATTTGCGTGCAGGGTGACACCACGCACAATAAAATCCACCAAGGAATCCTTATTCTTTTTTTGGCCTCCTTTATCAGCGGGGCCTTCTGCTGCTTCTGTGAATAGGAGCAGATTTTTGTAAGGATGCCCACCCCCCTTACCCACCCCTCTGAAAAACTTCACCGCCATTATTTTCTGGACAGGACAGAGGAGACGGCACCCCAAGAAAAATGCGAGAATTATACAAGAAAAAATCATTAATCACTTGTTCTTCTTTAAACACTTCTTCTCCTTCTTCTTCTTCTCTATTGTCATCCGGCAGCCACACACAAGACCCCTTCTGCCAGGAGAGAGAGAGAGAGGGCAAAGAACAGAGAGAGAGACAGAGGAGGAGAAAAAGAAGACGTCTTGGAAGACACTTGGAAGACACCCCCCCACCCCCTCCTCCCTCCCTTCCACACACACACACATAAACACTTATACATACACCTCCCCTTCCCACCCATCAGCAAGCTATTTTTTACACCCCACAAGTATCCTACCATAAGAAAAAAAAACTTTTTTCCTCCTCAATGGAAAGAAGAAAACCCTTCCAAAGAAACTCCAACAAACCAGTCAGAGAGCCCTCACTGCGCAGAAGAAGATGGCCCAGAGGTCGCTGAAAGTGGTGCCGTCTAAGGTAAGAAGCCTGGGAACTTCATTTTGTCTCTCCTTTTCTTGTCTTTGGCTCTCTCGCTGCTCTGTGTCTGATGGCTCTGTGGCGTTTTTATGGTTTTATTGCCCCCTGCACATTTGGCGAGGTCAGGCGGAGGGGGCATTTCTGGGCCGTGGAGGCTTTGATTTTAGCATGGGGACTTTTGGAGTTGCGTGTTTGTGTTGGAAGGTGTGTGTGTGTGTGTGTGTGTGTTTGCATGCAGCATATACAGCCACAGATGACGGGCTTGTGTTGTGCTGTTGTCTCCTTAGTTTGTGCAACTGTTTCCGTCCCCCTTTGCTGTAGTGGTGTCACTTCTGCGTTTGTTTGTCACTCACGAGGCCTGCCGCTTCTTGAGCATCTGTTGTGCGTGAAATGTGCTACTGTGCGTCTTTTACGCTGGGTAGTTATGCTAAAACTGTGTATTTTTTTTAATGATTTGTGGGATTCAGCTGAAGGTGTATTTTCGATGTATATGGCCTATATGATGCACTTAACAAACTTAACGCAGTCGCCTATGTATTCTCATATCGAGGAAAATTCAGAAATGTTCTAGCTAATGTATGACAGAATGGCCCATGTGAATAATTCCTGGTTCACCCAGAGCTTATTATGCATTTTGTCTTGGCTGCGTTTCTGTGGTTATAAAGTGTTGTTGTGGTTTAGGCCTATAGCTTTTAATGAGATACTGTTGAATGTGTGTGTG